TTGGGCACAAAATAAACCTTGAGGAATTGGGTTTTTGCTCCTCAATGGTTTAAGCCTATTGATTTAGTTATAATTTTGCTATTTGAGCCCAATAAGATTTAAATTAAGGTTTGGTTTTCATTATAAGGGCTAATGGTGAAAGTTGGTGGCACTAAGTAAAGGTTTTTAATTGATTAAAAAATTATATAAATTAAAAATTAGCCTAGTGATGGCTAATAAATGGTTTTGGTGGTTAAGTGATACTATGTGAATGGTTGGTTTAATATATGGACCATTAGGGTGGAGTATGACTCATTGACCTAAGTTGTATGGTATAAGTTATAGTCTTCATTAATGCTATTTGTCATGATAAGTGATGTGGATCACTTATATGTTGTAGAAAATTGTTGGTGGAACTTATTGAGAAGTAAGGAACAAGCCGAGCCCTATTTTGTACAAAGGGAACCCTTTTAGTACCAAAGGGTTGAGGTAACAGGGGAATTTATATTTCTTATTACTTTGTTTTAGCTATGTTTGAATAAATATTACTAGTTATCATGCATTACATGTTTTAAAAGATTAAATGTGCTTTATAAGGGGTTATGGAGTACTACTTTGATTATAGTGCAAATATGTTTTCTAATTGTTTAATAACAATGTTTTTATGGAAATGAGATTTATAAATATTATACTACTTTAGAGTGTTGAATGGTCAATACTCAGGAAAGGTAGACAAGAGTAAAAGGCATGATCTCGGTGGGAGTTCACTAATGAGAAGGTGTGGATTTTTGATATTCTATGGCACACTGTCAGTACTCAGTGTTGTCTTACGTATTGTGGGCTCAATGCACTAAAGTGGTTAGTGTATTGAGTGTTCGACACCTCTCAGTGGGGGAGGGAATCCGATATATGAAGTGTGAGGTTGAGTGCCTAGGCCAAGGTAGCCCTCACATGGAGAGTAAGTCGGGCTGGCTCTGGGAGGGAGTTAGTTTTGACTGCTCAGGATTCACGTCGAAGGGGCATAGGCGGTTCGGTGGATTAGATCATGCCTTAGATTATGTTTTGTGCCTGTGAAGGTACAAGTAGGTATAAGGTTTACCTGCGAGTTAAAGAGTGCCAGGGGGCATTCTGTTGGTCATGAAAGGCCATACCGGCCTAGGTCATGCATTCATGCATTTTAAATGGCTAAATTATATACTATGTTGAATTTATTATTCGTTTATTTGATTATGGCTTACTTTGTAATAATCAATGTAAATTTCGCTGTTACTGAGATTGTGGTTGTCTCACCCCTTTCTTTTCAATATTCTAGGTCCAGGCGAAGGATCCAGTGGTGGACGGGGAAAGGAGCAAAGCTAGGGGTTTGCTTGTGATTTGTAAAGAACTGCAACCCCTTTCTTTTGAGCAAATATATTGTAATGTATTTAAGATTAGGGTGCCAGTAGGATATGATTACGTGTGTGTGTGAATATGTGTGGATTGTGTGCTTGTGTATGAATTTTTGTCTGTTTGCAGACTTGTGGCTAGGAAACTTGGTTATGGTGTGTGGTTTTGATGGATTTACTTAGTAGACCAAGTTTCTATTACAAGAAGATCTTTGTTTTGATATATATGTGATTTTATAAGCAAATGCAAAGTGGTTGCATTGCAAATGGTGTGCTATGGGCAAACATACACCTTGGATAGAGAGAGTAGGTGCGTGGGCCCCACAAGGAGCTCTGAGCCAAGTGAAAATGTTTAGCATATGTATTTATATAAATACATGGTATTTGGATTGATTTGTGACCACTCTTGTATGATTTGTGCATTTTGGGGGTTTAGGGTCCATTTTGGAAAATGGCACCCGGGTGGTCAAATTTTGATGTATGGGGGTTTTCCATCATTTGAATGTTCTATCAAGTGTTTTTAATCTTATTTGACGTGTCCAAAGTGTTTCAACAGGTTTGTGACCATTAGGATGAGATTTGGACAATTTTGAAAATGGTTTTTACCAAAAAGCTGCACTTTTGCATCCGGGTGTCCAAATCTTAATCCGACCGTTGGATTTCTCTAAAATTTGGGTCACAAGTAAAACCTTTTATAAGCTTCGTGTGGACTTTGGAATCACGTCGATCGGATATCGGACAGAGAAACGACGCGCTCCGGAATTTGGTCTGGAGGTGCTGTCATGACAGCATTAAATTGCTGTCATGACAGCTACAGTATTGATTTTATAACCTGCATAAAATTCAATCTGTCCGTTGGATCTTTTCAAAATTTAGTATGCTAATAGTATTATTTAAAAGTGACATGTGGGCTTTGGAATCACTCCGATCGGAGGTCAAATGATGAAATGGTGCACTCCGGAAGTTGGTCCAGAAGTGCTGTCATGACAGCTTTTTAGCTGTTATGACAGCAAAAATAATCAAATTTTTAACATGTCTAATTTTAAATCCGACCGTTGGATCTTTTTGAAATTTGGTATACTTATAGTACCCTTTGAATGTGATGTGTGAGCTTTAAAATCACTTTGATCGGAGGTCGGATGGCGGAACGACGCCTCCCAGAAGTTGATTCGGGAGGGTTGTCATGACAGCAATTTAAATGCTGTCATGACAGTATCTTTTTATTTCTCTTTCGTCTAACTTGCTTCTGTACGCTATAGTTAGAACCTATAATTTTTTTTAAGGTTTTAAATGTTTACTTTGCAATCGTATATTTGCTTAGTGATTTAAATGGTTTGTTTCCTAAGTTGGTTTTAGGATTAACTCCTTAACCACACTTAGTTTATTTGAATTGTGTAATTTTTGGATAACACTCGGGGCAAGTGTTACAATATGGATTATAGATCTAAAACTTTCTAACTCTTTAAATTAAAGTTATTTATTTTAATATAAAATTAATATATAGTATTATGAAATAACCATGTAGATTGTGTTGACAAAGATAATGGTGAAAGAAGAGTTGTGAAGGGGAACTTGTTATTCAAGACATAAGGTAACCATTATTAATGTGTTGTGATGATTGTGTTTTGTGAATGGTTATGTGTTGTTTTGTTGTTTGGAAAAATTATGAATTATTGAAAATAAATACTATTATATACTTGTTTGAAATTATTGCCAAGTGGGTCAAAAATTTATTTTTGTTTATCATGATGAGATATTATTGTTCGGATATATTCTTGTTTGGATATTTGAATAATGCATGACTTGTCAGGGTATCTTAATATATGGTGTTAATGGAAATTTTTGTTCGGTTAATTATTACCATGTGGTAAGCCCTCATTGGACCCAACGAGTGGTGTGTCGCTTGGTCCAACTCACCTTTGGCCGGGTTATTTGGCGTCCGAGTATGGCAAAAGGAGGATATAAGGTGCAGTCATGCAATTAAATACTTGTTCGATTTGTTTGAAAATATTGTTCGGTTAAATGTTTTGTGTGCCTACTTAGTAATCGCATGATTAGTTACATCCGCATGCATCATTACATATTAATTTTTGGTTACTGGGACTTTTAAGTCTCATTCCCTGTGGTTAACATTTTTACAGGAGCGAGTTCGGTCGAGAAAACACCAGAGGAGTAACTTTGGTGTATGAGACACCATCTTTTACGTTGCCTCTCATTTTGTATTATGCAATGTATCTTGTGCCAACCTAGGACATATCTTATTTTGACAACATGTAAACTCTAATCCTTTTTATTAAATACATTTATATGACTAAGATGATTATGTTTGTCCCTCTTGATTCATGACCTGATTTGAATATCATGCCATGAGGATCCTGTCTGTCCTTCATGGTTCCAATTGCTTTTTGAGATATTTTAAGACCTGTGGTATATTGTCTTGGATGTATTATGGTAGAAATTTTTCTACCCTGATAAGAGTATGATAAGGGGTCAATAAAAAAAATGATTTGTTGAATTAATAATTTGTGAAAAATCGGTTTGTAAATTTTAGGGTGTTACAATGATTTTGTTACTTTTTAACTTTAAGTATTTATATTTGTATTTCCTTTTAAAATTTTAAAAATAAATTGTAAATTCATTTATTTAAAGTTATAAAATTAAGAGTCAAACTTACAAATTTTTAGAATTGTTAAAATAATAACCTTAATACTTCCCAACATTAAATATTAACATCTGTATTTCTTTTTAAAATTTAAAAATTAAGTTACAAATTCATCAATTGAAAATTGTAAACTTGGGAGATAAACTTACAAATTGTGTTCCAAATTAAAATTGAGAAAATAAATTATAAATTCATTATAATAAAATTATAAAATTGAAAAAAATTTCACCTAAGGTGCCAATGTTGCTTTAAACCTTTTTTAATACATCAAAATGTCACTTAAAGACCAATGAATCTATTTGAAATTCTGACACCACTTAGTACTTGGGTTGAATAAATTAGTTCCTTTCAAACTTAGTTGTCATTCTTCGATTATTTTATAACATTTATTCTTTATTTTTTTGGGCAATAATTTAGCTATTTTATCCTTGCCTAAGTGTCATTCTCCAACAACACATTGCCATGTTATGGATTCCACAGTTTTATGGGATAATAACATTTAAAGTCCTCTCAAATACACAATAAGAGTATATTAGTTTTACATCATATATTAATTTTTAAAAACATATGTATATTATTATTAAAAATTAAACCTTAATTTATATTTTTTGTTAGAATTTTTTCCAAAAATTTAACAAGTTAAAATTTAATTTTTAATAATATATATCTATTTTTTATACAACAGTATTTGATGCAAAATTAATAAATTTTTGTTGTAATAACTGTGTTTTTGTGAGAGTCTTAAATGGCATTCGCCCTGATTTTCCTCCTATTTTCGGGTCTTCTAGGTCCTAGCCATTCCCTCCCTATGCCCTGGGAAGTAGGAAGTGAAGATGACGGGCAAAGTAATCTCACCGCAGTAAAACGTGAATGTTCCAATTCCTGCGAAGCTCTGGACCATGGTGATTCTTCTTTAACACAAACGACGGCGAAGCGGGTAACTAATTTAAGGAGCGGGTAACTAATTTGAGTCTTCTTCGAACCACAATTTTCTCGTTAACGACAATGCAAGCAACATGCTTTGTCATTAACGTTACCTTTGACATTCCCTCCTTCTAGTAATATCATGAAGCCTCCTTCGCGCCCAACTAAATTCCCATAATTCTGGTCTCAGATCTGACTTGAGGAGCAGGACACAGCAAATACTCACATGTCTCCAATCATTTGAGCGCACCAAGTGGTGATCGATCTGAACTTTAGCTTCATTGCTTCCTCTTGTGGGAGTTGATCCTTGGTAACTTATCTTTTCCTGGATTGTTCTTGATGCACTGTGCTTGCCTGTCAGCTGTCAGTTGTTGATATTTCAAGAGATGATAGAGCTATTTGCATGTTGGGTGATTGAAAAATTTGGATCTTGATGCCTTCTGATCTGATACATGGGCTCTTATGTTTCTGTTGTTGTTCCTTGTGCCGGAATTGTGTTGGCTGAATTTTTTTTTTTCATTTACATGTGGATTTATTTTCTGTGAAGCTTAAATTTTTGAAGAATTGGCAATAAAGTTGCTCCAATTATGTGACGTGGCATTTCAAAATTTCAACTTTTTTCGGGTTTTACATTCTGTTGAGGGAACACAAAATGGGTTGAGGTTGTTGGATTTTACTTAAGGGGTCCTCTGTTTCCATTCTTTTGAGTTCTGGACTTCTAGGAAATGTAAAGTAAAGCAACTCGCTTGATGAAGTTATATGAAGGGAATCTTCACCTTTTTCTATGTTCAGAAGTTCGAGCCATCTTGATTTCTTTGTATCTCTCAACTTGTTGTGCCGAGCAGCAACAAAAGAATCATAAAGATCCCTCCTTAGTCCTAGAACTCTGTGAGGTTTAGTTTGGAAATTGAACAATTTCGTTCCTTACCCATTTGGGAAGCCAGCATTCTTGAATTCACTAGTTTTTGTCTTCTCAGTGAGTACAACTTTGAGTTCACAGATTGTCTTGTAGCGCATCAGTCTCCATATTAACTTCCACTCATATGTATTGTAATCCTTGCCTCTTTGCCCTCAAGGAGAACAGCCAATGATTTTGAGTGTAACATTTAAAGGAAGATTTTGGTAAGTTTCATTGGTCTACTTCAAGTTTAGCTAAAAAACGTGAGCTTTTCTTGTGATTGTTCTTGTGCTATATTTATGGGCACAATATAATCCTTCATGCTTGTCAATCATTTGGTATTCAAACAATCTTTGATGAGCTTTAAAGCATTTCAATTTCTGTTCATTTTGTTTCAGAAACAAGCAAGCTCAACAAATTTGTCTAATAAGACTGTCGAAAAACAGAGTTCTCACAGAATGAAGGGTTTAATCTCACCAATTGAAAGTGCCATGCCATCTCCTCTTTTTCTATGGAGGTTTAAGGTTTGTTAATGTACTCATTAATTTGTCTGCCTTTTGTTCAAGCCTTATATACCAAGAACTTTCTGCATTATATTTAATCTCCAAATTTGCATTTGTTGCAACCTCTATACTTGACTCCAGTGTTCCTTGGTCATGTTAGATGGGCTCAATCTCAACCTTATGGAAGAGAAGTATAACCAACTCACTTTTGGACTAATATTAATTTGTTGACTTTTTTTGGTCAAATTGATTTTATTTACTTGTATGTTGATATTGGATACCTTGCTTTAAAAAAATTGTAGTTTTCTAACTCCTATGGTTTCTAAACCTTGCTGATTGATTTTCTCAGGTGCTACTCTTTCTAATGTGGGGCTTTATTTGTTGCAAGGTTAGAGTATGCCTTTTTGCTTTTGTAATATTATTGGTCTCCATGGATGCCAATGATTTGCTCTTGTGAAAAATTCCACTATTACTACTATACTTATTTATGGCCTAATACTTATCTAGTTTCTACCTTTGCATCAGGTTGGATGGGATTCTGTCATGAGAATGGATACAAATTTGCAAAATCTTTTTATATATGAGGCATTTTTGTATTATAACCCCCTTCTTCTTGTGGTGAGTTGAAATTTATTGTCCTGTATATGTTGTTTATTCAAAATATTGGACCTGATAAATTTAGTTGTTATTATTACAGACTATGATGGTCTGGCTTTGGGGAGTGAACTTGTGGATTTTTTCACAGTCCAGTGTAACCTATGCAAAAGTTTTTGATCTTGATCAAAACCATCTTACTCACAACGAAATATGGAAGGTACTCACAACCATCTTACTCACTTGTGAATATATTATATCAATGCAAGGCCAAATACTTTAAGAAATCAGATAATTCTTCTCTTAAGTTCCATTTTCACCATAGCATATGCATTTACCTTGTGAATTGTGACACATACTGATTGCTCAATCTTATATCTTCTTTAAAATAATAGTAAAGGCATCCTTTTTCATAACAAGATGCTAAGCCAATCCTATATCATATAGATTGATGTTGCCTCATGGTTATGTGTGTATAAATGGGATAGTACAGCCTTAAATTTATTCTTTGCATGTTCGTTCTGCTCTCTTTTCATTCATATGCCAACGTTTGGTTTTTATCTTAATTTGTTTAATACATAGTCCATATAATGCTTGTCTCTAGGTTTAGCAATAAGCAATATTTTTTTAGCTATCATTTGACAATATTGTTTTGGCCGCTTCTTAAAAGTTATTTCATGCTGATTGCTTTAAAACTATGATTAAGGAGTTATTAACATTATAGAAGTAACATACTTGAAATGAATTTCAAACGGCAGTGATATCTTTATTTGAAATATTGTTAGTAAAAGGAGAAAACATAATCTTTGATCCCTATAGTTTTATCGGGTATTGCTTTTAGTCCCTGTAGTTTTTTTCTACTATTTTCAGTCCTTATAAGAACTAAAAATGGTGAAAAAACTGAAACTATAAGGACCTGAAAAACAAACATTACTCAATCTTTCTGAAATTATAGGGACTAAAAACATTGAAAAAAAAACTATAAGGATTAAAAGTAAAACTTGATAAAACTATAGGGATTGATGATTGTGTTTTAAAATGAGAGAGAGAGAGAGATAACTAAAATTCTGATGTTATGCCAATAGTATGATTTATTTTTAACCCCGTTAGAATGCTAGTGCTATGGAAATATTATCTTGTTTCGACATTTGCTGTTACTCTTTATGTTACTTGCAGTGTAGTACATGGATGACAATCATTGTCCCGACTAGCATGACTGCTTATCTCTATCTATATTCTCATGGGGAAGTATCATTGGCTGCTTCACAACCAGTGTAATATCTGCTCTGTCTTTTGTTTTGCTTGTATCTTTCTCTCTTTTACTCCCTCAGCAAATTGAATTAGATTTTTACTTAGATATTGCATTTATTTGCCTGTTTCAGTCAGTCAGTCTGCATTTTCTTTCTTTCTCATAGATGATAAGATATAAATGCTTTTTTTTTTCCTTTACTTTTATATTGATTTTGGGCACTTATTAGTTATTATTTTGAAAAAAATCAAACGTGTTAGTTAATTTTTGAAGTAGCAAGAAGTAATTTTCCTATGATATGTTCTGACTTTCTTATACACATTTGCAGGTGCTTCTTTACATCTTTGTTGCAATAGTGTTGATCTTTCCCTTTGATATTTTTTATTTGTCATCTCGTTTCTTCTTCTTAAGGACAATGTGGCGGATTGCTTTCCCTCTACAGGCAAGCTTTTGTATTAATTTTTACTTCTACAGTTAGGTTCTTAGATTGTGTTACAGCCTACCTGTCAAATAAGTAACAAACTTTCATGGTCGGTCGTTGCATTTGCCCATGTTGGTAGAATACAGAATTTTGAGTGTTTATCTACTCTTTGTTCCTCTTATAAAGCGTCTGCGAGATCCCTTGCTGGATTTCTGATTTCTTAGTTTCTTAATGTGAAGTTCTCATTCAAATGACCCATACATTGTTTAATGGGTTTGATATCTTACATTGTAATTAATTTTATGTATTCTTTATTTCATTTTTGTAATGCATATCTTTACAGATAATGATCTTTTCAATTTCTCCATGCAGCCAATAACATTTCCTGACTTTTTCTTGGCTGATATTTTCACTTCCATGGCAAAGGTATAATAAATAACATATTAGTTACTTTCTTGGTGCTTTTCCCTTTTCAGTTCACAATGTGTGCTATATCTCAAATGTCACCATACTTCAATTTTAAGTGCTTAGAGATTGTAAATTTACTTTCTTTCTTTTTTTTTGGTCTCTCCTGATGCCTTTTATGTTAATGAATGGGAGGAAAACCTTATTTTCTTACAGGTATTTTCAGATTTGGAGCGCTCATTTTGTAGAATGGTTAACAAACAGGTAATTAATATATGCTTTAAACTGAATAAGTTATTTTATGTTTGTTCTTGTGGTCTCTTGAGTTGAATCTGTCTTTTAGGTTGATTTACTGTTGTTAGTCCCAGTATCCATTCCACATGTGTGACACATCATCTATGATATATCCACCATTTTATTTGATTGCAGTAGTCTGAAATTTGAACACAACTAATTACATCATTTTCAAGCAAAAATGCACATTTTACATGTGTGTTTTTTATTTATCATTTATCCTCCCTCTCTTCGTACTGGCATTTATAACTCTGATATAATCAGTGGCAAGCTGAGTGATATATAATTATTAGTTGTCAACCATACTGTTGATGAAAAACCTATTTCAACTCAAAAGCTTAAGCTATTTAGTGAAGGCCTTTAGATGGTTTTATTATAATATCAAACACAGTGCACTAGCTCAATGGAGAGCTTTTTGAACTGAAAGTGTGGTTAACCACTATCGTAGCATGAAACTCCTGAGTGCTATGGGCCTAATGCAAATTAGCCGATAAGAGTGGTCGGAAATTTTGGAAGGTACACTAATTGTGGAGTTTGAAAGTTAAAAATTGATTTATTTATTTTTTAATTCTTCTCGCTGGTTGTGATCTTCATTTGCTTTCAGCAATCTATACAAAATATAGTGTTTGCTAATGACACACAATTTCTTTCTAGATGTTAGCATTATTGAAATCGTACTGTTTATGGGATGTTATTTCTACCCTAAAGAAGAACTTGATTCCTCGAATTTGAACTTTTTTTATTGATGTTCAGGTGGCTACAATTGCATGGCTTGAAGCTGATTCTGTTTGTGGTAGCCATTCAATTGCTATACCGATGGTACTTGTGCTCCCTTATCTCTGGCGTTTATTGCAATGTCTTCGACAGTTCAAAGATACCAAGGAAAGAACATGCCTTTTTAATGGTAATAGCTCTTGATCACCTTTTCCCTTGTGCCCATAACTCGTTAGCATAATATTTCCTGGCTATGCTTTCTTCCCTTCTTCTTTCTTCTATCAATTTACCTTGGATTTTTTTAAAGCTATAAAGATTTGGTTCAAAGCAAGAGTAAAGACTTCCTTGGCTTTTAAAACTCTATGTTTTCCGAGATGAAATAAAAATTTTCATTGGTGCGTATACTAGCTTTTAATGGAACATTTTTGGCTTCCCCTTATCCTTTTGGCTCCTTGTATATTTTGTATTCACTTCTGCGTTTAATGCTGATTTTTTATGGATATCATCTTGCCAAGTCTTCCGGACAAGGAACTTTATTTTATATTCATTGAGTGAGGTATTTTTCTCGTTTATAAGATTCTCTACTGTTTTGTGTATAGAATTTTATTATTACTTGCACATTTTTATCTATTTCTGCAATAATAGCACATAGTTCGATCTTGAATCTTTTGGTTTCCATTTAGAACAATGGTTGTAACTTTGGTGTTTCCATCATACTATTCTTCTAACTCCCACAAAATGTGTTTTCAGCATTGAAATATTCAACAGCATTCCCAGTGATTTTTCTTTCAGCCCTTAAATATCATGTGTTCCCTGAGAAGTGGGCATCTCTTTATCGGCCGCTTTGGCTTCTCTCGAGTGTTGTTAATTCGCTCTATTCATTCTACTGGGATATCACTCGAGATTGGGATTTAAGGTACCTCACATATAATCTTTACTTTCAGACTAAGAGGCTAAGAGCAGCAAACCTTGCAATTCTCGAAGATTTATAAACGGCACACCTAATAAACAAATTCAATTTCCTTGACTTTCAAGATAACACGTGTTCACCAATAAAGCTGACTAAAAGATTTAAAAATGCCACACCTAACAAACAAATTCAATTTTCTTGACTTTCAAGATAACACGTGTGTTAGCCAATGAAGCTGATGGTTAGGTGCCCAGCCCCCTGTTTGTAAACCCTTGCTTTGAATTAATTTGCTTAATTTTTCCTGTTCTTGTTTCTCTACTCCTCAAGTCTTTGAATTTTTTCTCTTGGTATATCTAGAGAGTGGGTTGTTAGTAGAGCACATTAACATTGTGTAACTGACCTCAACTACTGGGATAAGACTTCTTGTTGTTATTGTTGTTTCTGTCTTAGTTTTCAATCTACGTTTAACTTACATTGAGGAAGTGAAGGGTGGCTTATCCAAGCTATATGCCGGAAGTTGGTTTGAAAAATATGGTATAAGATTTAGATTAAGTTCTTTTAATACTTGATATTAAGTTCTTTTTTTTTTAAATGTAAAATACATTCATGTTTTATGTTTAGGTGTGCCCTATTGATTCCTTGAACAAGGTTTTGCCACGTGCCATGATTCCATTGACGAACTAGTGGCTAGATTGCAATCACTTGAAAATTGCCCCTGAATATATCACATTTCATTTCATGTTAAAATTCACTCTGGTTCACAAGCTATATTGAGAGAGTATTTTCCTTGTTTTACAGTAACTTTTCTCGCATATTCAAGTTCAACAAACCAAGTCTGGTTTCCAACCTGTTTTATGGGAGAAAATGGGTAAGAATCAGATCCATTTAGTTTCGACGGATTAGAAGGTCATGAGTGTATTTGGCCCAACTTGGCTTGAACCCGCCTATGGACCCTCTCAATTTTAGGTGGGAAAATCATTATTATCATTTTGGGTATATTTTGACCGTCATGTTGATCTGGGATCTTGATATCTATTTGGAATAATTTTTATTTTAAATGGAAGAAGAAATTTAGTCCATTTGCATTGGCTAGTATGGTAGGACCAAGAATTGGATAAAAGAGTCATGTTAGATGAAGAGAATCTGAACTCCTTAACTCCTTAACTAAGAGTCATATCAAAAGTTTGGTAGGGTTTGACCTGGCTTGCAATCTGGTATGGCTAGGAGACACCCTCTCATTCTCGCAGGTCTTTTTTCAAACTTGCAGATATACTTTTGGGTAATTGGAAGCAACTTCCTCCTGCGCTGCTCCTGGACATATAAACTGTCTGCCCATCTCCGCCACAACTACCTGACAGTGTTTACAGTTACTGCTCTGGAGATGTTCCGGCGATTCCAATGGGTGTTTTTCCGTGTTGAAAATGAGTGGAATAAGATGACTCGATCCGGTGTTCAACTTACGGAAATCCCAAGGGAAGAGGAGAAGTTGCTCGGCTCTGACAATCATCAAGTATAGGCTCCACGTTTTGTCTGCATTTTCATGGTAACATTTTCCTTAGATACAGCACCACCCCATTTTTTCCTTCTAGGCTCCAGCGTTTGAGGCTCCCATGATTTGATGAGTAGAGATATAATGTGTTTGCATTAAAAAAATTATAATTGAAGTTAGGATTCAACTAAGGTTAACAAATTGAAGTTAGAAAAAAAATCAGTTAATGTAATATGATTTATGTTTGGATGTTTTTTTTTTTCAAAAGTCAGTTAAATAAACTGAAATTCATTTGGATGATTTAATTCAAAAGCCAATTGAGATGTTTAATGGCAGAAATAAGCACGAATTTTTTTATCTTAAATATTAAATCTTGGATAAGCCTATTTATATTTTTTGACTAACTAATAAGTAAAAAATATTAAACTTAAAATCACAACTAATAAGTAAAATATCTTAAATATTCAATCATGAAAACATAAAATAAATTTATATTTAATTGATATGATTTACAAGTTAATCTCTAATTATATCACAAAAATACTGCATCTGTCTTGACGATTTGGGTAGATTTGACAAGGCTACCTCACCAATATTAGTATCTTCTTGAATGTCAAAGTTAATTTACTTGCAAATCTCAGGCCTTTATATTTAAATTTTTCATAGAGGGAATTTTCTTTTAAGGAGGCAAATATGTTTATAATTTGCCTCCTTATATCTACAAGATCAAACCAGACTAACATTAAAAAACAGATTTTGGAATCCTTAAACTTTAAAAGAATAAATTAAAAAAATAAATATCTAATACAGTACATTAAAAACATGACATGCCTATGCCCATCCACGTCTTTCTCTTATACTTAAAATACGCAGCTGGAATTATAGAGACACGAGCTTGATCACATGCTTCTATCACAAGTTATCACAAGGATGAAACTACCAGTTTTTTTGCCCAATTATATTTTTTAATATATTGTGAGAAGATTTCCTTTTTAAAAAAAAAAATTGTTCGGCTAAGATCATATTATTTGATTGTACTTGAAAACAAAATGAGATATTAAGGCAGGCCCTGCAACATCAAAAAAAGGAGCAGGTGGCAATCCTACTGAGCGCTCTGGATTCAAAATCACTGAGCTTGATGAGGCAAAAAGAGGATGATCTGATGCAGGCGAAAAAGAAAACTAGAGAGCTAGAGGATTGCTTGAGAAAAGCAGAGATGGAAAGCGAAGCATGGCAGAGACTAGCCAAGGAAAAGGAGGCCATGGTGGTAAGGCTGATGAATAGGGGATGGAAAGTAAAAAATATAACAAGCAGGATAGTAAACAAATGTACATGCATTATATCTTCCTCTAGTCTAAAATAAACAAACAGGGGATGGCAAGTGAAGAGAATAACAAGCACATATCACCAATTATTCAAGTCAAGGAAGAAATAATCTTCAAAGAAGGAACAACAGAGCAGGGACGCGATGGAAACTAGAAAGGATAGTAGAGAGCAAGAGATTGGCCGGAGGTTACTTGGTGCTTCAATACGGTGGAGATTGGTTGCTAGACATCGTCGCCTATGACTAATGAAAGGAAGCAAATCTGAGGTGTGGAGAGTTATGCGCAACACAGATTGGGAGTTGTGTGTTTCGATCTGAGGTGTGTGTTTTGAACTAGATTGGGAGGTCATGGGATAATAAAAGCAACATGCACAAGAAGCAAGCATAGCTCAGGTAGATAGAAGACAAGAGAGAGAAAGCATCAAAATTTAAAATGAATTTAATGCTTCCAATGGGCAGTAACATTAACGCTAAGGAGAGAAAAGCCGAATTAGTGGGCTTCTTAATTAACTCGCATTTACATGCTAACTGAGGTTGAAAAATTATGCTAATTCAAATAAGATTTTTTTTTTTTAATATTTTGCATCTTAACCTCAGTTTCACCCATTCTAACTGAGGTTAGAATGTAATTCAAACATACACATAATATATGTAGGCTCGTTATCATAAATTAGATATCAATTTTGTTGCCAGTGAGCGTTACTTTGGTGAAAATATATTTTTAATTTCAATTTTAGTATATGAAGTTTAAATCATCCAAAATACTAGCAGGTTGTATTTTTTGACATCTTGTATGTAATAAACTTGCATTGTGTAATCTATATAACCGACCTCACTTAGTAAAATAAAGCTTATTATTGTTGTTGTTGTATGCAATAAACTTGTATTACAGAGGCTGGCTCTAAAAACTTGTGTTATAAAGATTAATATTTGGTTTATTCAAGAACTCGTAAGCTCATATTAATATCCTTAATATGTGATCAACTCCAGTGGCCTCTTGATCCAGTGGCACATGTATTTGCAGGTTCTAACCATTTAAGCGTATGATGTAACTAGGTGATGCGTTAAAATATCTCAGGAAATCTCCCATAATATCTTCATATTTGAGCTGATTTGATGAGATTTTATAATGAAGGCCACTAGTCCACTTACATGCTATTTGAATGGATGCCTCGAGAGTAAATCTCTTGGGAACAAATCAGACTTTTCATTGTTTAAACTTCAAACACAACCAGCAGTGAAAGTTAGGCCTGAAAGTTCGTCTTATTTTGTCTTCTTCTTGGCAAATATTAGGCCTTAATTTAGGTTCCAATTGAGGACCTTCCTACTTCCAGAGTCACGTTTAAACATTACTCTAATGCTATGGTTGGGTTCCACCGAGTAAAGGAGACTCAGCGTGTTTTTAGAGTAATAAGCAAAACGTTCCAAAATAAATAAAGCAAGGGTAGGTTCAAATTTTTATCCTTCGTCATACTTAACGTTTATGTGCCAAATGGTCTAAAGTAGGTATTTTAAGATAAGAAAATACAGTAAATTTAATATACATAAATAGATGGGACTTTCACTTTCCAATTTACCTTTTTTTTTGCGAATTAATTTCTTAATTGAAATTTTTATATTTGTTAATATCTTCCCCGTATTAATTATGTATTTATTTTTAATGAACTTAACAATCAAATAATTATATTTATTTATCACGATCTTCATTTTGAGTTTAAATTTGATAAGCCCCATTTGAATCATGCGCAGGAAACTTTCATAGAGTTCAAGTCAATTCTTCATCATATTACATTTTTATTGGTAAAAATGGATCAATTAACAACAAAATGATTATTTTGAATAAATCTTGAAATTTTTCGGAGATTCATTATCAATTTTTACATATTTAAAAAGATTGCTTGCGCATAACATAACCAGAAATTCAAAAGGTTAAGTGCGACTTGGCGGAAAATGAAATCGAAGAGTACAATCCAACTTTCTGAACACAATTGGATTACATCTTATTTTTTCTTTCTGGTGACACTTTTTCGTTCACTAATCTCGTCGAAGCAGCATGACTCCGCTTAGTGGCCATATATATATATATATATATATATAACACTTCCAAAGATTATTTGAACAATCTAAATCGTGGGAAAAAGTGTGACCATTTGCATTTTAATTATTTATTAATTCAGATTCGGATAACTTCGCCTAGAAAGTTGAATATTTGATGTGGACAGATAAGGGTGTTAATAATGACAAGTTACTTCAAACAACCCGTTCATGCCCAATACTATTTCAGTGTCAGGCCTAAAAAACAGGAGATTTTTTTTTTAATAAAAAGGTTTTTAGACCCGATTTTATAATTCTTTTTAAGACAGGTCTAAGCTTGGGTTAACATTTTTAGACTCTATATTTTTCCTTTTTTTTCAGTTAACATGTGATTGAAATTGTTAAAAAGTTGATTTGATACAACTGCTAATATTATATATTGCAAAACAATATGTTTGATTTTTTTATTTTAATTTTTGAATTAATATATGAAAATGATATAATTTGTTAAATTGTGTGTTTCTACCTGTAATTAGAAATTTAAATGAAAAATAAAAAACTATGCAAACTTAAGCCAAAATATAAGTCCTATCAAATGAGGCCCAAATTTTAAAAATATTATCAATTTAAAATATATGCGCTCATGACTTAAGTCTTTAATGAGTGAGTTCTTAATGGTCATGATCTCAAATTATCTAAAGTCAAGAATAAAAGTCAAGCTTGAGATCTTATTTAAATAAAGATTCAAATTTAAAAAATGAGGAATTTTTAGGTAATAAGACTTTTGGACTCGAACCTTGATAAGCCTTGAAAAAAAGCTCGGATTTGGGTGGCCTTCCAAGCTATGTTCTATTTTTTTTTATTTTACCTTGAAACACACCATTTGTCAAATATGAAAAAAACCCTAGCATTCGACCATTCTAAATTTCTAGCTCTCTTTGTCTCTTGGCTCAACTTTTCACTATCACCTTTGTCTTTCCTTTAGTCATCTCACCTCTTCCTCTCACCACTATGTTCACCCTCTGGTTCTCTTTGTCCCATAACTCATCTCTTGACTTAGTTTCTCAACTTAGTGTTTTATTATTGTGACATTTTAGTTCTCTTTCTATCATATAATTCCTCTTTTGACATAGACTTTTTTTTTTTAGGCTATGAATTTTTGAGATTTTAATTTAATTTGAAAATTTTGATTCTCATTTTATTTCGTAAGGCTTATATCGATATCCTTTCTATATTTTGTTTTTAAAACTTTGTTGTGAATTTTAATAACATCAACTAACATGTAGTTAGACTTTTGAATATTTTACTTATTTTTTAGATGACTTTAGATCTTAATTTATTTTATGTTAAGTTTTAAAATTACATTATAATGCTAAATTACATTATTTTCTAAAAAATAATATTAAATTTTTTAAAATTAAGTTTTTAAGTTCGACCTCAAAAAAGGTATCGAGTTTTTAAAATTTGGTCAAAAATTGAAAATCAGGATTTTAGGACCCGCGCCCACTCTCCCAAGGGCTATCTATCATTAACAACTCTAGTTATAATAGGTAGTGAAGGGGGGACAGTTATTTGGTGTGCGGCCCGACACAGATATTTTAAAGATCAGATTGAAAATTAGTGTTTAAAAATGATAAATAGCGATTACAAACTCAAGCTTTTATGGGTTAGGCGTATTAAAGTTTAATTTTGAAAGGCTAGGATAAGCCGCCTTTTTTCCCATGTTAATGCTAAATAAATTCAATTTTTCGAAAAAAAAATTAAAGTCTATAGTATAAATTTATAACTCAGACGGTAGATTCGTCATGTTGTTTGAGAATAAATTTTATTTATTCAATTTACCAAAAAAATTATTTATTTAATATAATTATGTTTTTTCATTGTTTATATGCTGAAAAAAATTTGAATTATTTATCTTTTAAAGAATTACAACTTGGACTTTAAATTATGATAAGTTACATATTACTCTTTGATTCTATTTATAAAACACTTTCTTAAAGTAATTTTTAATTTAAAATATATGACACTTTATAATAATTAAATTACTTTTTTAAATTTTATCTTTTTTTGATTAGTATGAATGTATTTAATGTAGTTATATCATTATTTAAAATTAAAAGTAAAAAATAAAATTACACATAATTTTTTTATGATATAAAAAATTAACTTTTTTTAATGTGTTTGTAAAGTATCTTATAATAAAGACAGAGAGAGTATATTTGTACGTTTATTAATTTTATATTTAAAAAGTTGGAAAAAAAATGTAGGATCACGAGCCAACCTTAAACGCTGAAAAGCGAAACTTCCAAAAATCGTCAATTGTCATGAATAAAGTAGACCAGGCAAAAAGTATAATCATTTTATGGATAGATGAAAATGGATCTTGCTGCTTTTAGTAAATCAGAATTAGAATCCTTTAAAGAAAGTGTCCTCTCACGTGTTGACACCGAAATGTTTACTTTTGGCACTTTTCATTCGCGTTGGATCATTACGCTCAAGTGAAAACTGAAAAAATGTTGGTACTTTATATAAAATAAAATAAAATAAAATAATTAAATTTTGAGATTCTTTATTTTGCACAAAACTTAATACACAAATTATAAAGCCACAATATTCCCAACTTTTAAAAGGGAAATTTGAATTCTTTAGGCAATAAAAAGAATAAATTAACATCTTAAAATATCAAAAAGGTCAAGGTGCACTTTGGCTCAAGTATTTTTGGAGCAGTTGAGTCTCCTAACAAAATTCATGGTAAAATGCTACCCAGCAATATTTTTAAAAGTGGTGCAGTGTTACCTCTTTTTAATAGTAAGTGTTAAATCGATTATTTATTATATAGGTCAAGAATTTTTTTTTAATTACCTAACTTTGACTATTAAATTAGGACACCATTGCACTTGTTTTGAAAGATTAAGAGCTATATTAATCTATAATTTTTTAAAGTAATCAGCTTCTTTGAAAATACTCCTAGACCAAAAATATATTTAATTCAAGAAGTTCTTACTGATATAAAAATATCACAAACAATAATTAAACTATCCTAATTTCGATATATTTATTGGTGCAAACTTTAAAAACAAAAGCTACAACTTTTAAGAAAAAGCCCCATGGTGGATAAGAAAGATCACACGGGACTAATTCAGATAATAGAAATGTGAATAGACTATAGAGGTTAAACTTTCAATCAATTTCAAAATAAAAATCATAGAGCACATGAAAAGATACCTGCAACAATGCATAAGATTTTGGCACTAGCTTATCGCCTTCTACATCATTGTCTATGAAACCTAGCCTCCAGAGATAGCTAGGCATGCTGATTCATCATAATTGGTGTCCTCTGTAGATTACTATATTCTTTCTTCCTTCCTTTCTTTTTTTTTTTTTAAATTAAAGTTTAGCTAAATTGAGTTTAAAGTTTACTAAAATTATGTTTAAAAAAATACTTACAAAAATATTTATAAATTATTCATTTATAAATTTTTTGGATCAATAATAGATTTTAATCTTATAACTTTATCAATTATAATCTAAATATTTATTAATTAGATCAAGTTTTATTACTGATGTATAAAAAAAAAAAGTTTTGTTACTGATTATATTCTCTTTGAGACAAGGAATATGCCACTCTTGAAATTTTCAGCAAATTTTAATTTTGAGACAAATCATTAACAAGAAAGAATCGCAATCTCTTCTTGGTTTTTCCGTTTTTAGAGCTTGGGCAGCAACTGTG